TATATATATATAATTGAATGTCTGCACAGTGGTATGCGAGCGAGGGTGCAGCTGAGTAGAGAGACCTCGGATGACTTTGCAGTTGTCTCTGGTGTGAAGCAAGGCTGTGTCTTAGCTCCTGCCTTGTTTATTATCTTCATACAATGATGTCTTGTGCTTTTGATGCGGCTTGTGCTTACGGTGTTCGTGTGGAGCACCGTATTGATGGTGAGTTGCTGAACATCCGTCGTTTCGGTGCGAGAACTCTAGTCTGTGAGACCACTATCCGTAAGTCACTGTTTAATAACGACTGTGCACACAGCGCGGATGAGTTGCAGCACATGACTAGTGCTCTGGCTTTGACAGCGACCACATTCAAGCTCCCCATTAACACAAGCAAAACTGTGTGTCTTTTCCAACCTTCACTGGAGGTACAATCTGCAATGATGCCGCGAATCAGCATTGGTGCTGAAGTATTAGAAATCACCTCCCGCTTCCGCTACCTTGGGAGTGTGATGTCGACTGATCAGCAGCTACACAGTGAGCTGCGTATCCGCGTGTGGAGGGCAGCGGCGGCATTCGGGAACCTAGAGTACTGAGTGTGGAACAATCATCAGCTTACCGTTGGCACGAAGCTGAAGGTGTACCAATCCATGGTACTGTCCGTTCTTCTATACGGCAGCGAAACATGGACGATGTGCCGGCGGGATGTGCGATATCTCGAGCGGTTCCATCAGCAGTGTTTGCGACGGATTTTGCGCATCGGTTTGGGTGACAGAGTTGCTGACACGGAAGTGTTGCGACAAAGTGGGATGTATGCGGTGGACTGTATACTTTTCCTGAGACACCTGAGGTGGCTCGGCCATGTGTGGCGTATGGACTCGACGCGGATATCGGAGCAGCTAGTATATGGTCAGCTGAGTGTCAGGAAGCGGTGTGTGGGGAAACCGAAGCTTTGTTACCAGGACATGGTCAAAATGGGCCTCTCACGTTCTAATCTTGATTACGGGTCATGGGCGTCGAAGACGGTTGATCGGCGTGCATGGCGAGATGTGATGACGAAAGCAGTTGCTGAGGTGCAGGAGAAAGACCTCATACATGCAGAGAAGAAGCGGCAAGCACCGATGGGTTGTACTCCATCGATATCGAGCGCATGGTGCTGTAGCACATGCGGTCGCGAGTGCCTGAGTCAGGTAGGCCTAATGAGCCATGAGCGAGGCCAATCGGGGCCAACACGGAAGCGACGATAGGTTCTACAGAGAACGTAGGCAGAACCGGCGCAGCGTTTGTAGGTACGCTGCATTCGATTTACTAACCGCATGCTTACATGCTAAGTCTATTTATTTCAGGTGTTGGATTTGCTATGTTTCACATTATTGCCTACGTGAACTATCTTCTATTAACTTGCGCGCATTGCTCAACTTAATTATAGTGAACTTTGACAACATTTTCTCATTTGGGTCTTTTTTCTACAACATATTTTCTGACGTCTTTAATCTATAGCGGATATTTTGGCAACCAATTTATTTCATATGCCTATTTATTAAAACGCTATGCTGGTATATCCGATTTATTGTGTTATATTGTCGTTTCTGGTGATTACCGGTTGCTTAATATCCCCGGTGTTGCTTCGCTTGACGTGCATATTGACAAGGTGCGAACCTGTCTATTACCCACTACCTCGTCCATACTAGCTGCAGGAGACAGCTGCTCGTTGCAGGAGGGGACGGGATGCACGGTCCTTGTGGTCGTGTTAGGCTCGAAGGGTGGTTCCATGCACTCAGTGTGAACCGGACCACGGTCCAACCACCGCCTTGTGTGCGCTTGATTTCCCAAATACAGCGTGCTTGTGTTTGCCTGTGAAGGAGTGTGGGCCGGCTCCGTTGATGAAACGTGGCTCCCATCCACATGCCTCCCGGTCTTATTCCTTCGGGTTTACACTGGATATGGGGTCTGTAGATGGAGCTGTGGGTGGTGCAGCGCAAGACACACATAGTCCCTCTATTGCCGCAAGCGTCCTGTGGCTGGCCACACTGACAGACAATTTCGAAACCAGATGCCGCCAACCATATATATATATATATATATATATATATATATATATATATATATATATATATATATATATATATATAGTTGGCGACATCTGGTTTCGGATTTGCCTGTCAGTGTGACGCTGACGAAACATCACACTCACATAGAAGGGCAGAGTGTACAATGCTGTCGTTCATTTAGCGGTGATGGAAGGTTGTGAAACTAGACATGTCGGATTGACAGACGTAAAGAAGCCAGTTGCGCTTGAATACCGACCCTTTTTTAATTGTAGTTCATATCTGTGGTATTTTGCGTGAGCCATGCATTGGCTCATCGTCCATTTTATAACACAGGAAAAACAACTGAATTGCGCAGCGTCCTTATTTTACTCGCCAGGCGATGAGAACCGGGTCATGTGCTGCGCGTGCCATCACATCGACTCTAATGAAACACGTTGCTTGCATGACAAGGGTCTGAGTGGGAGAGGAGGGGTGGCCGGTCGATTAACTTGTCTGGAGGAATGAAGGCTTTTAAACTGAGGTTGGCTGCGGTTGGACTCTTCCTGATCCCTCTCCCACGCAATCGTACTTTCTGCCCAATCACAATCTCACTTCAGTGCACTATAAAACTATTGATTATTTTTTTGTTCTTTGTTTTCCATTTCTTTTTTGCGACAATCTGACCGGTTTATTTTGCGGCACTGTAGCTAAGGTGTTTCTCATCTTCATGCCACGTGTGATTCTGATGGTTATGTGGCACTGTGTGTCACTACAAGAAGTTGTACTATTTTTAGCGCACTGAAAAAGTATGCACGTCAATGCATGCATTGCAAGTTATGCAGTGTGCCATAAAAATCAAAGCGCAAACCGTCGACATGCCCTAAATTGATTATTGCCGACAGCGCATACGAAATTCGCATTGAACGTTGTCGGTCCTAGCTTATGTGTTTGTGTCAAAACATTTCTGTTTTTCACTGAGACTGAATGTACCTTTAAGCGTCTTTTGGTTTAGTTAGGACGTGGTATCTTACTTTTTCATTCCTGTCTCATTGATTTAGTTTGCTGTCATTCTCCTTCATGGATGTTGAATCTTCCGCACTTATATTCATATACCTTAAGCTCGGCTTGTTTTCCCCTCACATGCCTATCATTGTTGTTATTCGTCGTGATTCAAGATCGCTTTGTCGATTTTAGCGCTTTGTCACAGTCGTTTACGACGATTGTTACGCAGTGACATAAAAAGTACACTATCCTGGATCTGGTTTAGCCTAGCAGGAGTCTTTGAAACTATATGAAAGGAAGCAATAACGCCTCTTACCCAGTTTTTTGCTGATTGCAACAATCAAGTACTCTGGTGGACTTGATTGACCAGCATAAGTTAAGAACATCAAGCGTTATTAGGCTTTACAGAAATTCTTGGCTGGTTTCATGAGCGTATAATTTGCCATCTCTCAAAACATGCACATGGCTCTTCGATTGGACTAGTACTTACTGTTGCGTGAGACCTTTATGCCCCAAGCAGTCATGCAGGATTAAGGCGCCAACACTTTATCAACATAGCTGGCTATCATGGAAAGATAAGGTGATATTGGGACGACAGCTTTTTCGCGTCTTTCACTACCCCACGTCATAATCAGCTATTACTCCGCAGGCAGCTCAGCGCCAAACACACTATAAACAAGAATTTCGACTACAAAACGAAGGCCTGCGCGTCACTGGTGCCGACTACGAGACAGGTCCTTTAAAGTCTCGAGCCAAGCACAAGGCGAGTCATGTAGATTCCAGCCTAGAAGGCGACACTGGCCAACAACACAAAGTTTTGTATTCAGTAATTTCACTTTTCGCTGCCTAGTTAACTTTTGCCTACCTCGAGCCTTGCGGCACTCTACATCCGGCAAACAAATCAATACCCCCTTCGGTAAGCGGTGACCGAGCATACGTAGTACGTGTTCAAGCCAACGCAACTTATTCATCGCTCCCTGTTGTTCTAAGAACTAGTCTGACTAACGGTGCCTAGAACTCGCTTAAGCGCATCATCCTTGCGGACAAACTGGGGCCATACGACTCCAGCAAGTCTTCGTAGGCAGCGATGGTCGAAGACTTGAGGGGGGTTCAAATCCTTAGACCAAAGCGGGCAAGTTTCACTCCCATAAAATAATAGGATCATTGCCGTAGCCATGTACACACTATCTTATGAACGGAGGGGTACCTCTTTCTCACGTCACAGATGTCGCAGACCCAAGAAGGCAGTTCTAGCTTTTACAGTTCGTGAATTGATTTCACTAGTTCTGTGCTCTTACCTTACTATCAAAGATTAAGGAGCCATAAAGTGGCTGATGGTCCCGCAACAACCCTGCAGCTTGTGGGTATGAGGCGCATGTTGAACGATGGTACTAATGTAAAGTAATTAACCATTGTTGACTGGGCCACCTCAACATCGTTAGACAGTAAAACAATACCGTCCGCATAATCCAGATCAACTATTTTTCCACCAAGCATCACCTTAACGCGCTCATCGTGAGATCCTTCCATGGAACACTCTATGATGGACTCCACGATGAAACTGAACAAAAATTGGGAGAACGGCAACTTTGACGAACGCCACTTGTTGTTGGAGAGATATCCGACAAGTCAACATAGACCTTATTGCAGTCTGTGCTATCTGAGTACAGGTCGCATAGTGTCCATATATTTCATGAGAGTGCCTTCATGTGCAAGTTTTTCGAATAGAGTAGTTCGATTAACTGCGCCGTATGCATTCCGGGAACACAGGTGTTGTCGGTCTGCGTTACGTGTAGCACTGCTTTAGCACCTACTGCAGAGTGAATGTGCACCTCCGTCCTGAGCGGAAATCTACTTGCTCTTCCCGTATCCGGGATTCCTGTTCCGCAGTGAGGCGACGAGCACAAATCGAGACCAGTGTTTTTGTCAACATCCTTAAGTTGGTCTTCCATACTGTAGTTGATGTTCTCTTTACTTTCTTTTTAGGTTGGCCATTCTTCTTCAGCTTGATTGACATCGATTTCTACGTCAACATGTGTGGTGAGTTTTTGTAAACCGGTTGTTTGGTATCCTGTCCTAATCTGTTTATGTACTGTAAACCGGGTTCAGCTTATGGATTACTTCATGACTGCCATTAGCAGTCGATCCTAGTCCTGTTGCTTGTTTTCTCAGCTGAACAGTTCGGCCAAATTAAAGCGAAGGAGTGGGGTTAAGACATGATTACGACTTATGCAAATCCTCCAGATCGATGGATCATTTTTAATAACATTGAGACGAACACTGGTAGATGAGCGCACTTCATGTTATCTCATCTGTATAAATACAACAACAAAACCTTATTTATATTACGTTATAATGATGCTACCAAACCAATCAAATGTAGTGGGGTGAACGGCAGCGATGGTCCTAGGACCAAGGCAACCTAAGGTTAACAACTAATTGTTTTTGCACACAGGGCAGTGTGCTTTCTCACCATGGCCTCGGCGAACTACGGGAACTTTGGTTAGGATGGCATAATAAAATCCAAAATGCGGAACTGGGGTCAATTCATTGATGCGTCACTAAATTATACCTGCCTTTTGATGACGCTGGTGGCTGGGCACAGAATATTGGCTGACGGTTTGTTTACCTCACTTTTGTTGGCCTCAGACTGAATTCATTTGGACAAGTGCTGCTTCCTTCTGGAGTACGAAATCTTGTCGTCCCCGCCTGTGTAGCTGACTCCACACTTACACACCAATTGATAAACACAGTGTGGTTTGGCACCGCTGGTTCCCTCTTCCTTTACTAAAGATAGCAACAGTCCCTAGATACTGTTGATCACTACAGCCTCAGCGGCGCGGTAGGTTCTCCGAATGGCAGGGAATAAGCGATTATTTGTCCACGTTCTTGCTACCTTACCCTTAAGTGGATGCTGGGGGTTTACCCGGTGCTGACATACCGTTTCTTTCAGCGGTCACTCGTGCCTACGTTTTTCGATGAAGATTCTAAGGTATTCGTTTCTATGAGCGCCGTGATAAGTGTTTTTCAGTCCTCAGCCAGACCATCACTCAAGTACATACGTCTGACACGGGTGCGCAAAATACTCGCCAGCCCATGTTTGTGGCCATAGAAACCAACCGTGGCCTGCAGCACCATGACCGATAAGATATCATGGCTGCTTTCTTCGACGGACACTAGGTGCAGCTATGCGAATATTTACTGGTTGTAAGCCCACTTACTTGTGCAGTGACATTTATTGTGTGGTATGCGATCAGAAGCGGCAGAGTGCATACTTGCACTCCTGTATGCCTACACACTGACTTATTTTGGCTTGGGATAGTTTGTAGAATTGCCCATCCAAGTATAAATCCACGCGCATCTATCGGTATGAGTAAAACAAGTGTCTCTAAGAAATAATACGCACTACAGTCCATTGCGTATCGATACGGCTTGGGTATGTGTCTCCTTGATCTAGATTTTTGGTTCTGCACCCAGCTTTCTTTGTCTTATGGGCCTCTTATTTTAAATTTCGTTACCATCGTTGTTAGTTAACAATACGGTTGCGAAGTTTTTACAATCAGGAGACTCTATGGCTCCCTCGGGTGTGGTGGTGCGTTTCTGACAGATAAACGACCCGCTGCTTTTATCTGCTATTGTCTCATATTCTGGACACATGATGACAACCGCTGGGTGGAAACAGGGTTATACTCACTTTCCAGCCAAGAGACAGGACACATGTGCATGAGTCTACTGACCCATGGCGCATTTCCCTCTGTTTTTGGGAGTACCTTTTATCGAACGCTTTGGTTGAGTACCCGAATCGTTCTCCTGTTCAGCTCTGAACACCCTGGCAATACAATAAACACAAGCACAATTAATCTCATGCTGAAGCGGCCGTCGCACAAAAGGGGAAATGCGTTGTCTTATCTGCTACCTACATCGGGATGCATAAATGGAAACATGATGTCAATGGCGGCTCCCTTCTTTATTCTGCCCATACATATTTCCCTCTCATTCCACATTTCAATTGACTAGCCCTACTCGCCGCAACCGCAACTCTTTACCCCAGCAATTGCCCGGTGCAATCGATGCCTCCGCGCAAAACACTCAAGATTAAGTGTTGGAATGTGCGCGCACCCCTAGACCGGAACACTAATTGACGCCCTGAGCGACGCGCTGCACTGGTCATCATGACACTCTGTTGCTACGATATTGATATTGCTACATACACTCGACTTGCTGACCAAGACAAACTATACAACGATCGTGCTGACTACACCTATTCGGTGGGAAATGCTGCCTTAATACCATTAGAACTTTAGATTAGATTTGCACTGTCGGACCGCCTGCATGGCCGCCTGAAGGAAGGGAGGAGTGGCATCAGCCAAAGTTGATTACACTTCGTCTGCGCCTCGGACGAAGTATGTTTGCACCTCCTTTTTGAGTCTTGAAGTTTGCAACTTTTGTTAGTATGTATGATCCCACCATGTGTGATCCGGATAACACAGAGGAACGGTTTTACTATCAGTTGTCTTCCGTGATACAATCCGTATTGAGCAGTGACCGAATTTTCCTATTGATTTATTTCAGTGCGCATTGAGCTTGATGTCGCGGTGTCCTCAAACACAATCAGCCCGCATGGTATTGGCCTAACCAATGGGAACGGCGATCACCTGTTTTCACTCTGTGCCACTCAAGGCCTGGCGATCACCAGCACACAGTTCCCACTGAGTGCGAGATAGATTGCTACCTCTACCCATCCACAAAGTTGCCATGCTCACCTGCTCGACTCCGTCATCTTACACCAGCGTGACTTACATAGGAGGCACATGACAAGTGCACTGCGTGGAGCCGAGCATGGCACTGTTCACGAGTTGGTGCGGACCAAATTGCACATATGTTTTCGTAGATCTGTTTATTGCTTACCTACCGTGTTTTGGCGCACATTTAATGTTCGTTCCTAATGTACTATTGAGTAGAGGATTTAGCTGAATAAGGTGATGTCGGCTTCATAGTATCAGTCGGAGAGCTGTAGCGCCGCATCCGTGAAAAAGTGGCGGCTGCGGCCGAGGAAATGACCGGTTGCGCAAACTGTAAGCTACCCGATTGGTTTGATGTAAACTGTGTGACCAGTGGCGCATTGTTATCGGAGAAGAATGCAGCATTCGCTTCACATTCAAACGACCCTGTCGATGCAGAGATAGAGAGTCAGTTTAGCAAACTTCGACGACGACTGAATCGAGAGCTCCGTCGCATCCAGTATGCACGGTGGACGGCGAAGGCACAGCAGATGGAATGCCACGCTGAACACCGCCAGCATGTGGAATTCTTTGACTCCAGGAAGTCGGTGAATCGACCCACCTTTCAACCTGCACATCAAGCGCAGGCACACCGGGAATATCAAGCAACAGCCGATCACTTGAAATGACAAGATGAAATAAAATAAATCGAATAATGCGTGGTGCTACGGTGACATAGCTCCTCGCTAAATTAGCAAATGAAGTATGTTCGTTAGAAACGAATCCTCGATAAGTACAGAATGTCCACAAGTTACTTAAGAATGCTACAAACGCGATAAAATTATCGAAGATAAGCGCAATTAGCGTAAGCAACGTGTGCAAGCTAATAGAAGATTATCCAGGTAGGCAGAACAAACCAAACAAAGTGGAATGTAATTTTTTCAGCATGAACACACCTAGTTTACATGTAAGTTGGTTTTGCCCAACTGCGGTGGGGTAGCATCATGAATACAACATCAGCAACATGGGGCACACATACCTACATGATTGGCGGCATCGGGTTTCGGATTTGCCTGTCACTGTGGCCAGCCACAGGACGCCTACGGCTACAGAGGGACCATGAGGGGCTCGCGCTGCACCACCCACAGCGCCATACACACACTCCATATCTAGTGTAAACCCAAAGGGATAAGACCGGGAGGCATATGGATGGGAGCCACGTTTCATCGACGGAGCAAGCGCACACTCCTTCAACAAGCACAGCAACAGCATTCCTGTCTAACTATGTGAGGAATCATGCGTACCAGATGTTCACAAGGTCGTGGCTGGGTCGTAGTCCGCTCCACACTGGATGCGTGGAACCATTCTTTGAGCCTAGCACAGCCACGAGGACCGTGTATCCCGCCCCCCACCACGGCAACGATTCACAGTCTCATGGAGTCAATAATCGATGTGGAGGGTGTTAGACCGGTAGGCACCTTGTCAAACATTCACATCTAATGCAGCCACACCGGGAATCACGGGAAAGCTAAGAACGCAAAATTGACAGAGAAAATGCAGCAGAATAACAGCATTGAAGAAACTAAATAGTGGGATGACTTTTCTCCAGATTAAAAAGACCTAGCTTGAGTATAAGTTGGTTAAACATCACTGCGATGGGGAAGCCTCATGAATGCAACGTCAACTTCAGCATGTGGTACAAGTTGATCATACATTGTTCGTGGCATCCTGTTACAGAGTTGCCTGTCACGGTGGCCTCTATAGATTAGCCACCTGACGCCTGCGCCTACAGAGGGTCCATGGGTGGCTTGCGCTGCATCACGCACAGCTCCAACCACACACCCCATATCCATCGTAAGTCCGAAATTGGAAGACCTGGAGGCATGTGTATGGGAACCATATTTCATCGACGGCGCCGGCCCACACTCTTTCACAGACAAACACATGCACGCTGTATTTGGGAATCAAGCGCACACAATGCGGTGGTTGGACCGTAGTTCGCTCCACACTGGGTGCACGGAACCACAGCGGAGCCGGCCTACACTCCTTCAACGAACAAAACGGGAGCATTCCGGTCTAAGTGGGAAATCATGCAGACCACATGTACATGAGGCGGTGGTTGGGCCGTACCCCGTTCCACACTGGATGCGTGGAACCAATTTTTGAGCTTAGCACAGCCACAAGGACAGTGCACCTCGTCCCCTCCAGCAACGATTCACAGTCCCTGGACCCAGTATAGTCGAGGTTGTGGGTAACAGACAAGTAGGCACCTTGTCAACATTCACATCAAATGCAGCCACACCGGTGATATCACTCAAC